CTTCTAGAAAGAAAAGTGTTCTTGCTCCAAGATTAAACAAAATACTGAATATACTTTTAGTTCACTTCTAAAAAGAAAAGTGTTCTTGCAGCCAGGTTTATAAGAAATACTGACTACAGTTATAGGTTAACTTCTATAAAGAAAAATGTTCATGCCCTGGACTTGCAAATATACTGACTATCGTTTTAGGTAACTTACTAAACTCTAAGTGTTCATTAAGCCAGATTTACAAAAAAAAATGGTGAATATAATTTGAGGTAATTCAAGAAAAAAGTAATCATGCACCAAGATTTACACAAATTACTGATTATAGTTTTAGGTCACTTCTAGAAAGAAAGTGTTCGTGAACCCAAATTTACAAGACGCTAAGCAATCACTTCCTTACTAGTTTTCTCTGTTGCATTCGGCACTATCTCTTATCTTTATCATTTCAACAAAAACAAACTCGGGATTTAGAAAACTGAACTGACTACTGAATAACAAACTCGTAAATTAATCGTCCACAGCAACAAACACACTAAGCTATAATAATCGAATTCGCCTCTTATACTTCTCGAGTGATTTCCTAAAATTTCAAGAAAATTCCAGACGTTAAGTCATGCGCTTAGCATGTGACGTCAAAACTCCCCTAGCCACAAGACCTATACAAACGTCTAAATTAAAAGCAAACATTCTAAACACTATTATACACTCTTCTTGTTGTCAATCCGTATAGAACCAGTAAAGAAGGGTACGATTAGAAACATCATCAGTCTTATTGAGATGCCAAGCCACACCAGCTACAGATCAATAGATCGTCAGGTTGGACGTAATAAAACTTCAGACAAAGCTGCGATATAACAAGGATACACAGACACCTACGAACGATTAAAGTATAGAAAACATAACAGGTTGATACACAAGAAGATGGATAAACGATTAAATTATTGTACAGACAGACAGATAAACACTTATGAAGACTGATAACAAGACCATAGCAGCAGTGCTCTGTAAACTAAGATGTGAACTGTGACAACGTGTAGTGTCAGTAGTGTTTATGACAACCTTAAAACGGTAAAATGTTTGATTACCCAACTTGATTCATTATGGAGCACATTTTTACGGTTAGTTGCACATATTTAGATCCTTCTGAGTGAGTTAATGAATTATTATTATATCTGTTTGATGCGAAGATGGTAACTGAATTTGGTTCTTCGATATGTAATATTTGCCCCCAGTAGCACATCGATATGTCTGTGGACTTACAACGCTTGAAACTAGGTTTCGATACCCATGGTGGGTGGATCACAGATAGCCCATTGTGTAGTTTTGTGCTTAATTACAAACAAACAAAATATAATATTTTTGGTGGTGTCTAACCTCATCATAAGTAAGTTTGATAGTTGTTCCTGATGAAAGTAATAAGGAAAGAAGTAAAAAGAATTAAGAATAAAAACAGCTATCTAAGCCAGGTTTCTAGCGATGGTAGATAAAAACCTATTTTCTAATACTGGCATTCCAGCCTACATAACGGTCACACGCCTTGATGGACGCCATAACGGAACTTCTAGGTCAAAACCTACTACCATTAAACGCAAGAAAATCGGGATTTACTCACGGGACTCTTAAAAACATAACACATCGTTCAACCTTCTCCCTGCTACAACTCTGGAACAGTATCCTAATTTCAAACAACTTGGCGTTGTACATATTCGAGAGTTGAATGAAACTACGTTGCAATCTTTATAGAGCGAATCATAGCATCCAATCTAATAGGAGAGGTATCTACAGACGTAGGGCATATATATCGTCAGGGATGCTTTGTCTGTCATATTTAATGATATGGGTAACGCGCTCAGATTAAATCGGAAAATATGTATTATTAAGTACTCCTGATCAAATGTAAGTCAACTATATATATAAAGATCAGAATTTACAGGATTTAAGAGAACAAATACATTAACGAAGGCTATCCTACATAACAAAACTAATTAGAAATGTTTAAATAATTACATCAGAAATTATTTACCTTTAATGACTAGTTTGCATTAAATCGCCAGGTGAAGAAACTGGTTCTTAACGATATTTTCGGCCATAATCCCAAAAATTTCGTACGAAGTTCGGCCAGCTAAGAAGATTTAGGTTAGTCCTAAATCCACATAATATGTTAACAGTGCAATATATTCATAACTACAATTATAATCCAGAAACTCATTCAAAAATAATTTTAATATTTTATCCACTAAGATTTAATAAATCTATAAAGGAAAATTAAATAGAGCATTACGTAAAAAAGTAAGCAAATAAGTACATCAAGTGTTTAGTTCATATTCAGCATCACAAACTGGTGAACGCTTAAAAAATACTACTAAATTTCAAAAACAAATGCACACTAGCCGCCTATCTGGAGCATTATGCCATAAAGGATAACTGGCCTTGTGGTCTGTTTGTTTGTTTCTCTTCGGATACTTACAGGTGTAAATAAATAGTAGAATATATAAAATACATAAAAAGTATATTTCAGTAAATACAACAAGAAAGTGTTTATACGTTTCTTAATTTTCTTTTAACCACCAGAGTAATTAACTGCCATGCGCAGTGAGTTTTTATAGAGTAAATTGTTAAATATAAATGGTACACCATGCATGCGTTATACTAAGAATGAAGTTAAAGGGAAGTGGGGAGTATTTTTGATAAAACATTATTATGTCTTATTTTAAAATAGTAAATTTGAGAAGGTAGCATAATTATTATTTACTTTTGTTTGTTTGGCGCAGAGCTAAACAATAGGCTATATGCACCTTGACAACCACAAGGAATCGAACCCTGGATTTCAATGCTGTAAATCCGTAAGTTTACCGCTGACTTCAGTGTTAACAAATAATTGCAGTAAAACTATATCAACAGCAAAAACGAAAATCTTCGCAACTTTCTTCTAAGTTAAAAAACATTAATCATCCCACCCTAATTGTTTCAATGTACAAACGATACAGTAACTATTTCATAATCAGTTCTGAATAGTCAGATGTATCAGCGACATTAATCTGATTGTTTAATTATTCAATAACAGGTGGTATCTTCGTTTTTAACAAATGCAAATATATAAAGAGAGAGAGAATGGCCTTGTTAAAGTGCTCTCCATTTCTAAAAATATTTGGTATACAATACACAATTAAGCATTATAAAAAAATAATAAAAAAATTAATTGTTCTACATTATCTTGCCATTGAAAATTAACAACTTCATTAGTTTCCAATGAAGCCAACAAAGAACTTCAGATCAATGTTTATTTATTCTACCCTTTTCAAGAGTCTATGATCGTCACAGGTTACAAAACTGGTTTTAAATTATGGTAACCGAAAAGAATATATAACTACAACAATATAATGGAATGGTGAACGTTGAAGTGTACTGAAGGTATTGTATCACTAACTATAAAAGGCTTATTCCTTTTGTCACTCGGACTAGAACGCTTTCACGCTCCTTTTTTGGCAATGTCCAACAATATACATCGTCGCTTACCAACAAAACTATCACCTGATTGTTCTTAGGCCAACTGTGTTGTTTATGTTGAATGCTCAATATTCATGTTGATGTGTTAGCCTACAAAGATATCAATAGTAAAGAATAGGTT